CCACTGCCAGATGTAGAGGCTCACAAGGATCTGGAAGTGTGGATCACGCCTCCGCTCAAGCCATCACTCTACTGCTTGGAATTGGACAAATCCGCAATATCCAGCTTATATCTCATCAAGCGCGCCTTTCGATGAAGTTGACTTTGGTAAGGTCATTGGGATGTTCATGTGACCCAACTATAATTTGTCACCGAGGCCTGCAGACCTGGGGCAGTCAAAGATCGTAAAGCCCCTGAATGGGTTAAAAGACAGGTAACCGAGCAAGTACGAGGCTAAGGATACCTGCCTTATGAAACACGCTTGTCCAATCTCGACGTGTTTTACCTTGATTACAGACAGCTTCGCGGCGGCCTTATACAGGCATTTCGCATGCTGCGGGGTCAGGATTGTTGCCTCGCATCCAAGGATTCCTTTGAGCAGGCCGAAGTGGCCTGCTTGCGAGGATACCGTCTCCAATTACGTGTGACTGGGGCAAGACTGGACCCAAGTAAGTTCTTTTTCTCTAAGAGAGTAATTCGGGCCTGAAATGCTTTGTCTGTGAAGATTTTTATTTCCCCATACGTGGACACCTTTAAGACGAAGTTGGACTAGCACATCCTAACGTACCACCACGTCACCTGAACCTACCATGAGAATCTTAATGTGGGTCGACACCACAATTTTAATGCTATAAATATGCTAGTTTCTATTTTTCAGTAGCAGTATTGTTTTCTCAAATAATTTCTAACTCTTAAGCGAATACATTCGCACTGTCTTCTCGTCTCTAAGCGAAGTGCAGCGATCGCGCCGGCAGTCGCCTCTGCCTCACCTGTGGTCCTAGGCCACGCAGCATTCTAAAGTTTTTTCTTCCTATCAACCTGAAACCGACTGCCGCTGGCCGGAGCGTTTTCCTCTGCCATGGTCCTCTTACCGGTAGACCTGACAGACAACAGAGGCGTATCATGGTCGCATCTCCGGCTCTTCCGGATGTTCTCGTGACTCTGCGGTCTCATTTTAGTGTGACCATTCGGATAAAGATATTAAACATGATGGGCTTCCCTGACTTGCCGCAAACATCTTCAGCAGCATGCCGGTCCTATCTCACACACACAATTTCCTCACACGAGCGACAGCTTTTCCTCCTAAAAAACCTCTCAAAGGACATTCTAACTTCTAGAATTTCTGATTCATGCCTTATGCGTTTTTTTTTTACTATCTCCTCTTTCCGCATAGTAACACCTTCTGGTTCGCATCAGCTGACATCACCACATGTGATTATATTACTTGGAACAAGTGAGTAGTCGTATACGTTGTCTTAGCGAACTAATATATTTTTACCAGCGATTAATGCATTTCTTCACTACTGTGTACCAATAGGGAGGTAAAAGGAGTTTACACATACCTTCCATAATAAACCTGACCTGACCTCACCTGATAAGACAATCAAAACTGTCTATTCAACTCTCTTTTGTCAAGTTGGAATACGGATGGACGGGGAGGACTTCATTATATTCATTACGGTCACAGTCGGAAACAACATTTATATACTACTTTTTCTTCTATTAAAGAGCCCAAGTGGCGAATGTCTCTGATGTTAACTTCGAATGAGCATCCAATAAGTCAGACCACTAAACTTGCTGTGCCAGTAACCGCATATTATCTTTCTGAATTGCCTCCTGGGACTTGTATACTCATTATGCTAAAAGAAAAGGTCCCGAGTTGATTGATATGCTAGAGATGATGCCGTAGAAGAGTCGCCGGCGCATCGGCAACCGGAATTGGGTCTGTGTTTTACACCTTCTATCGAGTGGCACAATATTTATGTACCTAGTAACATAATAAAGCCAAAATTACGATGCGAAAGAACGAGATCTCCAGTTCAGTTATCTCTGGCTTTGGCCATCGCTCTCGGTGTAAGGATCAGAGCAAAATCAACGCACTTTCGATTAACCACTTAGTCTTCTTATTAATAGCAAAACTCGCACAAGAAGAATTAGTCCTTCAGAAGGGGATGAGAAACATCCTGATGATGGTTTCGAATAAGGATTCGAGAGGTCAGACCAATGCATCTCCTCTGCCTGTACCTGCATCTTCCCCTTCAGGAGTGCTTCTTGGAACTGGCATGTTTATTATGCTAAAAACCTATAAGAAAAGGCCGGCAGTTTATCAAGGCACTATTCGCTTATGTTTTGAAGTCAAAAAATTGTTCATTTGAGACACTCATCCGTAGTACTTCGCTCATCCTTCTCGAGGGGAATCATAAAGGTCTTGTTCAGTGCGTAACGTCACAGAGCAGGGCACTCATCATGGTCGGCGGCTTGATCGATACCATCATTCGCACGGCCTGTACCGACCGACATTGTACCGTTGGATGAGTAATTAGGACAGCATCATAGTGGGTCTTTAGGCCTGCCCCTAACAGGTACCCTATCGTGACTGAAAGGACTTCAAAATAGACGACAAAATAATCAGTATTACATCCTTACTCAATGCCGATTAGCAAAAGAATGAAAGGGAGACCACTCGATCGCTGGGACCATACTTTTATTCGCCTGCGTTTTTGAAGTCCGTCGCGGACCAAACTTTGGGACAATAAACTTCCTGTGTTAGTTACCGTATCTCCTTCCCCTCTGAACTGTCTCTTGGAACTCTTTAGTTTTATTAGGCTAGAAACCTACGAGAAAAAGCCCAGAGTTGATCAGTAAGCTGCCTGTTTACAACTCAAGCCGCAAATTGAAACAACCATCTGCAGTACTTCGTTCATCCTTCTCGAGGGGAGCTATGGGCGTCTTGACCCGCGTGTTATGCTGCAATGAGCAAGGATTGCATAGCCTCCGCCTCTGTCATTCCTGCCACACCTGGCGATAGGGGTTTGTGGCGGACTGCTCCCTCGTTCATGACCCACTGCCCCAACGTCATGCAGCTGTCAGTTGGAAGATAACTGCACCGTATAACATCCAGCCATTTAAAATAATAAATTTCTCATAATCGCAGGAGCAACTAAGCTGTGCAACTCTTCGATTCTGCGGTCTGTTTGAAAATAGGAAATTAATGATTGACAATATCGTATTTTACCATGCATGAAAACCTACTTATTTAGGTGAAGTATATTATGTAGTTTTGTTATTATTTTAGTATAGTGTTAGCTTAATTTAGTGAATACTGTGAAGCATACTACGGTGTTACTTAAAAGGCGCCCTTACGTAGTCAGCTTGCAAAAATGTTGCTTCAAGCTTGCCGAAGTTTCCATGGCATGCCTGCTGCGTAAGCCACACATAAGAAACCCTACATACCTCAAAGTTACATCAAACAGCGTTAGTCAGCAGAGCAGTGAAGCTTGACTGCAAATCCCTGCTTGAGACTCACTCACTTCTTTCTTTCTCAGTATTCTGTGCTGGCATCGCTGGGCATAAAATGTCTCAGCTTATCCATACTCCAGATCGCCCCGTTTCACAAAGAGTTGACGCTGCCAACCAATAAAGTGATTCAAGAGCCGAGCAACGGTCACTACGCCACGCTAGGTGCTGCCAGATTGGTCGTTGTCTCAGAGCGCCAATATGGAAGACGACGCCAATATCATTCGCACAAAAATGCCGTTTACACTGCGCATTCGCTGCCAGCGAGTCAACGACTTAGAATTGCAGGTTCAGGACTCGGATGAGGTCTCAACGGTCAAGGAGAGGATCGCCTGCCAAAAGCAGATCCCGAAAAACAAACAAACTCTGACCTTTCAAGGTCTGGTTCTTGAGGATCCCTATCGCCTGAAACAATACGGAATTAAGGATGGATCGACCATATTTCTAAGTATCCCGTTGGGCTATTCAATTAGTATTCAAGTCAGCATAAATCTACCCACTGGAGCTGTGGTTAAACTCTGGGCTAATGAAAAGGATACCGTGAACAGCCTAAAGGAGCAGCTTCGACGTTCGCATCAATTGTCCCCACAAGGTTATGAGCTCGTATTTGGCGGCAGATTGCTGAATAAGACTCAAACGTTGGCATCTTGCGGACTGAACAGTGGATCCAGCCTCACAATCCTGGAGTATGTATCTGCGGAACACGAGAGTAGCTCACATCTCTTGCAACTTTTTGTAAAGTCCCCGACAGGGAAAACGTTACCAATCAGTGTCTCCCCGTGTGATACTATCAGAGATTTGAAGAACATAATCGAGTCGAAAGAAGGGATACCTGTATGTGACCAGCGTGTAATTTATTGTGGAAAACAGCTACAAGATGAGCGTACATTGATGGACTGCGATATACAAGAAAGGTCCACAATCCACCTTGTTATCGCATTGAGAGGCGGGTAGTCCGACACTGTGCCAATCAAAACGTTGTACACTTTCCAATCTACTATCGATAAAATATATGCTGCATTTTAACGTCAGTTTTTCATTCCGCTGTCTTTATACTCAGTATAAAGAAGAGGCTAAAAGTAAACTGGTTGGATGACAAAATCCAACTGCAATTAATGACACGACTTTTCCCCGGAACTTCGCAGTTCATTTGGCTTGATTGTATCCCTTTTCGTGCTGGGGTTGTTGTGAACGTCTATCGCAGACTGTTAAAGATTATTCAGGATAACTCTAACGGCTGCGATCTTCCAGACCCGTTTCCTTAGGAAATAAGAGAAGTCATGAGAAGGCCAGAGTGGTAAGACCCGTTTATTCTGTACAGAAGGTTTGGAAGAATAGCTAGGAGGAGATTTGAATCGGACAAATGCAGACCTGCACCAGAGCGGGGCAGTGCCCGAAGTGATGTTCAGTGGCAGTCATCACACTGAAGTCTGTGTACAGACGGATTGAAACCAACGGATTGAGGCCAACCTACTAAAAGAGGCTAGTCTACTAACGCGGAGATCTCATTGGATGGATTGAGGTCGAGCTACTGTAGACTGAGGGGTTACGCGTCAGTTTGCGCCTGGCCCGAGGCAAACCGAAAATTGCCATCACGCGAGGCGCTAAGCTATGAGTAACCTCGTCTGTTGCGTTACGAGTTAGAGGGGTACCGGGCTGCAGTGTCCTGGAGATCGCCGAATTTGGTTACCATTAGATCCAATGGAACAGTGTTCCGCGAAATTGCCGCTGCCTATTTCCTTTGTTTTATTTAGACTGCTTGACGCCTTCAAAATGATATATTTGAGAGAATAAGATGGATATATCACTAGGACATCTCCTAACAAAACTAACTGTGCATATTGTCATCAAAGTGGACGAGAAATAACCCTGTACACGTACACGCCCTATTTTTGTCCACTGTTACCCTTCAAGTTGTTGGGCCACAAACGACGATCGCATCTTCTCATTCTCGGGGTGATTTTCGTCGACCTCCTTAACGTGGTTCATACCCACATACCACCGTGTCTCCCTGTACCTGTTACGAAGCAGTGCGCCGGTAGCCAATAGATGTTTCACTTGTAAACCCAAACCCTGCCGAGGTGAATGCTGCCGGAATACTTTGACCAACTGATAGCTCGTCTCTGACCTATCGCCCTAATATGACCCTTGAGGTAAATTACAGTAGATTCCCTATCTCATGAAATGTCACCCGAAATTCTGACATGCGTTTTCGATTCAAACATATTAATTACGTATGATTTTAAATTGACGATCGTACAGCCTCATCTCAATATATTTAGGTCACATCAGGCTGATGGCTTGTAAATGAGCTTCTTTCTGATCGCTAAGTAAAAGTATGTTCTATAAAAAGTGGCTACTTAAGTAATAGGCCTTTTATCATTTATTTTGACTGCCTTTATAAATTCAAATATATTTTATAGAAGATGTGCACAAAAAATTATTTCTTGTACTCCTTTGGTAGCAAATTACTCCTTCTTTAAACTGTATACTTTAAAAAATGTTCTCATTATGAGCTCTTTAACAATTTTCTAGTGTTCATTCATAGGACATCGTATCCGTCAATTTGTTAATGCTGCCTTTACTGCATAAAGCATACTCTATAGCTATTGCAACATTTTATGAGAACTATGTGAGGTCTTCCTCAAGCTGTAGGGAAAACGTACTTTTCCTTAAACAGGATGTACACAGTGCGCAGTTTGAAAACTTTGAATTTCAGTGTAGTAGCACTAGGTTTCAAAATTATTCGGTAATTTATAAACTTTTTCAAAACCGAAAGATACCCTTTCTTTAAGTATATCATTTAAAGAAGGCGCAACTTGCTACCAAACGAGTACAAGAGATAATTTTTCGTGCATGTTTTCTAAAAAATATATTTGAATCTATAATAGCAGTCAAAATCAAAGACACAAAGACCTTCTACATAAGTAGTAACTTCTTATGGTACATACTTTTTTGGCGGTCAGAGAAAAAGCTCGTTAAAAAGCTGGCATCCTACGGTGTCCAAAATATATTGAGATTAGGCTGTACGATCGTCTAAATTACAACCGTCCGCAGTTTATATGTTCCAATCAAAAAGTCATTTCAGAATTCCGGTCGACATTTCATGAGAGAGGGAATCTACTGTATGTATTAGACTGAAATTGCTAGCCTTCTCCACTGTGAAGCCCCGCGTCGACAGTGTTCGTAAAAAACGTACTCACGGTCTCCTGCCGTTTTTTGCGTACGACTCAATTCTTCACAGTTCTCATGCAGTAATTAACAGGCGAGACTTCTCTCCCCCCCCCAACTCTCAGTCC